CCGTTCACGAGGTGAAGGTTACACCCCTTAACGATCCAAGATATCGTCAACTCCATAAGGTCTTGAACCAAATAGGGTTCGGGGATAAAGGTACAAATCCAACCTAAAAGAGATTGAACCTGCCCTAATAATAGGCCTCTACTTTATTCTGATCGTATTCATGTGCGCTTTCTGACTAACATGTAATCATTAGGATTACCCTAAACCTGTATATCTATGTTGGTTGAATATAATGCACAAATAAAACTATTATTGGCGATCACTTGAATTATAATCATATTAACCTTAAACAAGATTATTAATTATCTTATTAAGTGTGATAACAAATACCAATTCCCTTTAAACATGCATAAAAGGCATGATCAAGCAATAACAATAAATATAATCAAGCAACATAATAATCATCACAATTATTATAACAATTATAATAATCATATTAAAGCATAATAACAGCAAGATCCTAGGCATGATACTAACAAGATTAATAACAAACCCTAGCATGTCACTAAGCAATAAAGATCAAAGCTTTAACCCTAACATGATACTAACAATCATGAATATTAGGAAGAACATAGGAAGCATCATACTTTTAATCGTACTTAATATTAAAGTTACCCTAGACATGATACTAGGAATATCATAATAACAACCTAAGCATGATTTCTATATAATAACATCAATTAAACCATTAAAGTAATTACTTGGATGCCTCGTACCTCTTTCTAATAACAAAATACACGCGTTAGTAACTTCAAGGAAAATAATAAACAAACAATTAAATTAAATAATTGAAAGAGAGATTTGGGACCAAACCCTCAGAAATTAAACCTTTCACGTCTAGGGAGAAGGCAACTTCGAATATGGCTAGGTGTTTCTAAATCTAATGAATGCGGAATTTTTATATCTGTGAAAAGGCTAGTTTAGAAAAGAGAGAGAGAGAGAGAGAGTAATCAAGAAAATCTTGATGAGAGTTGGTGAATGAAAACGAGGTTTTCAGAAAGCTATTTATAGAGAAAATCAGCCAAAAAGATAAAAAAAAAAACCGAAACAGAGTTCTGACGCGCAAAACGAGGTTAGCGCCAAACGCTGACGTTAGCGCCAGGCGCCAAGCGTAGCGTCAGGCGCTACTGCTGGCGTTTGGCGCTGACTAAGTTTTTGACGCATTTTCTTAAAATCAGATAGAAATTGCCGTACAGGAGGATAAAATCGTATTTTCCTCAAAAACGTTCTTTTATTCTGATAAAACTCCAAAAAGTCAACAAAAGTCAATTGATCAATGCTAATTGAATTAGGAATGAAAAGAAACTTATAAAAGAATCTAGAAGACTAAAGTTATTCCTAATTGCATTAGGAATGATAAATCTATATTAGGCCCTCCTCTAGATCATTGGGCCGCATATAAGGCTCAAACCAGGCCCAGTTCATTAATTTGGCCATAATTTCCTTAATATTCATCGAAATTGGGCTTATAATATATCGTTGGAAAGCTCTTTTCAAGCCCCATCCAACTACACTAATATTGGACCCATATCATGGACCAAATAAATTGGATTGGCTATTTTCTTGAAAATAGGTTTTCAAAAATAGAGAGAAGAGAAAAGAAATTAAAACTGTCCGCAACACTAAACTTTCCACACTTTCACTTCATTCGATTACGATTCGACGTGAAAGGTACTCATCACCGGGTTTGGTTTTGGGGAGACACAAATGGGTGTCTACAGAAGCCCCCACTTTGGCTGAGTTTGAAAAAACGCGAGTTTCAAAAACAAAAGTCAAAGTAGCGATAGGGACGGAGAATGATTCAGAACGCTCTGCGATCCTTAATCATTCTTGTAACGCCGATACCTGCAAACTAGCGTTAGTTAAACAGATAAAAGAGTTAAGAAACGCGTATCTTGCACCGTCGAGCACACGTCTCTGAAGGTAACCAATTTGCTGTCGCTTTATTACTGTTTTGATGACCTCCTGCAAGTTAGAGGATGTCATCCCGCTTGAAAACTGCTACGCTTGTAACTGCCTCTAATTTCCGCCTTGATAATATTCCACAAACCAGGGAACACTATCGAAGATTACTTCGCTTAAAACGTTCCTCTTCCGTTTTGTGACCATCTTCCACATCTTAGGGAACACGATGAAAGACAACTTCGCTTGAAATCACCTTCAGTTGTTTGTGATAACTCTCCACAATCTAGGGAACGCTGCCGAAGATATCATCGCTTGAAGCTATCCTCATTTGTTGCGATAATTTTCCAAAGGAAATTACCGAAGACCTCCGCTTGTCGATATTTAAAAAGCTTGCTTGAACTTTGCTTCCGCTATGCCTGTATGTCGGCACTTTTGCTGCTTTTGAACCTATATGTCGGTGCCTTTTTCTGAATTACGAACCAGTATGTCGGTGCCTTTCCGAATGAACCAGTATGTCAGTGCCTTTTGTGAATGAACCAGTATATTGGTGCCTTTTGCGATGAGCCAATGCTTAGGCGCTTTAAGCTAAGTGAGACGATCTTTCATCAGGTCGATCACTTTATGTAATCAAGCCGGTTACTAAAAATTGTGTCAAATTGCTTATAGGGCTAACTGGCGTACCAAGGAACCCAAAATATATTGCAAAAGGTTAGAACAACCGTACTGAGTGGCTGAACCTTCTGGCGCAGCTGAAATAACATCAGCGCCACTTATCTGGCTGTAGCGCCAGGCGCCAAGCTTATCGACTGACGCCAAGGTCTGACGCTTGGCGCTAGAGTCAAGTTTTCCTTAAATACCCTTCTCTTCTTCATTTTCGCTGCTGTTCGTCGCGTGTCTTGCTCGAAAATTTCCAGAACTTCATTTGATTCGTTCTTGCTCGTTTTTTAACCAATTCGCTCAAATTTGTTGCAAATCAAAGCTTATTCCATCCATTTTCCCGATCTATGTAAGTTTTCTTCAAATTCACACCGGTTTTAATGAATTTTGCATGTGTTTGTTCCCGAATTTCTTGAAAATTCGAAACTTATAATGCTTATTTCTCTTTGTTTGTCAAATTTTATGCCATGAAATTGCTTGATTATGTTTATATATTTCCTTGGGAGTAATTTGATACTTGTTTGACTCAATTTGGTGAATAAATGAACAAATTGCCATTGTTGAACCTCTTAAGGTTGGGAATACAATTTGGCTTGTTCTTGATGTTTTTGCTAGCAATTCTTGTCCAATTTGTCACAATAATTACTATAGTATTACAAGAAATTGTTTGATTGCTTGAAAAATGTTGTTATGCTCAATTTGAATTTGTGCTCTGTTTTAGTACTACGTACTCTGTTTTTTGCGAGCATAGTATCATGCGGCTAGGCGAACCTTAGATACTATAGAACCTTAATTTATGAAAATTCTGCACAATTTAGCATGGCTAGACAGCAAGTTCCGGCTTACGGTCCCGAGACATTCGACGGGAGCATGAGCCCGTAGAGGACGATGCCGAATCGTCCACTTCGCTCAGCCGACTCCCCGAGTGGGATGAGCGAAGCTTGTACTTTTCTCCTGTCCACTACATCTCTGAGAGGGTGAGACGGGGCATCACTGTTGGGAGGACGCGCTGTCATGGTTCCGGTTGTGACGAATTGGGCAATCTGTACAAGATGTACATCGCCAGATACGATCAGACGAGACTTCTATGGGAGTCTTACGAGCTTACTGCGCTATTCGAGACCTCCGAGGCAACGGTTGCCTCTAGCGGGGGTCATAATGTAGTTCGTGCTCTGGTGGAGTTCTTTTGGGACACCACCAACACTTTCCACTTCCCCTATGGTGAGATGATGATCACTCTTATGGACTTCAATCTCATCACAGGACTGGAGTTTAGCTCCGTGCCACTGCTGTTTGACAGCGGGATCGACTTCTCTTTCCCTGAGGTCGAGGAGCTTTTGGGTCCGATTGCTATTCAAGCTCGAGCTGAGGTAGAGTCGACTCAGTTCAATGCTAGGGGGATTCGCCGCTCGACTCTAGCAGCGGCTTTTGACGATGGTGCGACTACCCGAGAGCAGCGGGTGCGCATCTTTGCACTTATCTTGCTGTTACGGACGTTCTCCCCTGACAAGGGTAGTAGGGCGCTGCTTTACTATCTTCCTGTCGTCCGCGATCTACACTGGATCGGGACTTATGACTGGGCCAACTTGGCCTATGCTGATTTCATTCGAGCGCTGCGGGACTCGTGTCGACATCGATCCTTTTGGTCGAATATTGCTTTGTGTAGCTTTTGGAGGGTCGTAGAGGTAAACCTTATTCCCTATAAAGTTTAGCTCTACATTTTAGTTAGCATTTACTCAGAACTTAAGTTTCTTATAGATCTGGTTCTACGAGTACTTCCCCTCAGCTGCGCCGGCGAGACCGTCGCCGCGCAGGCTTCCAGTTACTGCTTCCTGGGGCAGCCGCCGTGTGGGGATGTCTACTGCCTATGTCCGAGATTGGATCATCTCGGTATGATTCTTTTCTTATTTGACATTTTATGATGCCTTAGATAGATTCTTGCCTGATTGACGCTCTTTGCAGGAGCCTAAGGTCCTATACCGACCGTGGGTCGACCTGGCAGTCCCTGGGTTAGCCGCGCAATATTCTGCTGAGCGTCGCTATTTCTTAGGGACGTATGGAGCGGCTGCATATCTTGGAGTGAGGGTTGCTATTCAGTATTCCTCCGATACCTTTGTCGTTCCTGCTCCTCCATCACGTCACATGTTTAACGCCACGAGGTTGGTGAGCATGTCAGAGGGAGCTGGTACCCCTTGGCGATCTTACACGATCCCTGGACGATGCTATGGGGAGGAGCTACTGCCATTGTTAGCGCTACCAGCTGAGGATGTGGCGGTACGATTTTTCAGCTTTTACTTTTCGTTAAGTAGCCCCCAAGTGATGCTTCACTGATTCTGTTTTGCCTTGTCAGGACGTGTTGCTGAGTTCGTGCCACCCTGTATGTCTATCCATTATCAGGGGACATATGGGCCAATTGAGGAGATGATTCCTCTGGCTGAGGACGAGCACTTCGTGGAGCGGTCGATTCCTCGCCACCAGACTCGGGTAAGCTTGTTAATTTGCAACTTTTTATCCATATACGTTATGCATGTCTACTGACTTATTTCTTTGAAAGTTCTCACGCGAGGTGGTTTCGGCGATGGCACGATGCATAGATGCCCTCCGGAGCCAGCTTGTCGGGATGAGGAACGTGGCTACCTACCGTCGAGACGACGCCGTTCAGGAGGTAGTCTTCCCTTCATATGTTTTTGTATTACCGCTTCTATTTTGCCTGTTTCTGATTTTAATTTCTTTTGCAGGGTCAGTCCATTCCTTCTCGTACCCGCACGAGACCTGAGGCGCGGAGGGATCCGGCGAGGTCTAGCTCGAGACACCGCCGTACCGGTTCGGGAGGTCGGGGCGGTCGTTCTGAGGCTGCTCGTACCGAGGCGGTAGAGGGCTCAGGCTCTTCATCTAAGGGTGCACATGCTGCGCCAGTAGGCCAGGGGGAGGCTACCTCGGCTCTTAGAGGTGGTGGGTTGTACGAGGTTGGCTCGTCATCGCAGCAGCCTCCGCAGCCTCAGCCTCAGGTTGATCTTGGGTGGACGGGTCCTGTGTTGAGCTTTCCTCCTCCCGCGGGAACTGGAGCTAGAGCTGGAGCTGGTGGAGAGGTTACTCCTCGTACGGCTGACTTTGTATAGAAATTTGCCTTTTAGTTAGACTCATTTGTTAGACACGTTTTGTATATACATACTATTATGAGTTTATTTTATTTATCATGTTTTTTTTTCATTTATTATTATTATTATTATTATTATTATTATTATTATGTGCATGTTTGTGTGTGCAAGGAAATGTGACAAATAATTTTGCGCAAAAATTCCGTCATTTTTATTATTGATGGAGGGTATCCGACTTTCTCCCCCAAAAAAGAATAATGAAAAAAAGAAAAGTCAAATAAAATAAAAACTTGGAAGGTAGTCTAAATAAAATCAGAAAAATAATATAATTAATATAATAGCTATATTAATTTAAAAAAAAAAGGAGGAATAAATGAATATTTAGAAAAAAGATAAGGAAACCGTAAAGTAATTAGCAGATTCGTATCAAGTCAAAAAACGCGGTTTTTTTAGAAAGCGCATACGATGAGGCATATTGGTGCCAGCTAGCGCCACGCGTTTTGGTGTAGCGCCAGGCGCTACACTTAGCGTTTGGCGCCAGGCTCTGGCGTCAGGCGCCAATAGTTGGCGTCTGGCGCTAAAAAGCGCTTTCTCCGAGTCCTTCCTGGATTAAAACTACTCCGATTTTGTGCATAAATAGCCCCCTGCTCAGCCGATTCTCTTCATAATTTCAGCAAATAAAATATTTCTTAGCTTTTAGAAAAATAACATCATGTCTCTAGTCACCAAGAGTTCCACCAACTACACCCACGAATGGTGTCGGTCTCTTAATGCCAAAGAAAGAAAAGAATAAGATGTGTTTCACTTGGGGGGTATTTATGGTATCAAAGGGGTAGATCTTGATTCAGATTTTATTCATACCGCTCTAGAATATTGGGATGTAGATACTCATTGCTTTAGAATAGGGTATGATGAAATTAGCCCTTTGCAGGAAGAATTTGGTGCTATTTTAGGTTTCCCTGCAATAGAGCTTGTAGTAATCCCTAGAATAAATGAATATTATTATAAGGATTTTGAACGCTTCTTCAATTTAAAAGACAGAGATCTATCAAAAATAGTGGATGGTAACATAGTTAATTTGAAAGAATTTGCTCGCCATTATTTTGATAGGCCTTACTCTGAATCTTTCCATGTTTATAGAAGAAGGGCTTTCTTGTTTTGTATGCTTAATCAATTTTTTCTTACTAGTGGTAAAAATAATGAGGGTCAATCAATTATATCCATTGTTTTAGAACAAATTGAATCAGGGAGAAATCCAATGCCTTTAATAGTTGGAGAGACTATACTTAGTCTTGATGAATTAAAGAGGAATCCAAAAGCACCTTTTCGGGGCTTTCCAATTTTATTACAAGTAGAAAAATAATATTTTTAATTACATAAATCAAAAATATATTTTTGTATAGTAATAATAATTTATTTGCATTGCAATTTTTAACAGATGTGGCTAATGGAAAGACTGGATTTAATTAGCCCTTCAGATAACATTATGAAGTATACTCCAAATTGCTTCGTGAGGAGAAAGAAACGCTTCTCTAAGATGGGGCGCCATGAATGGAAGAAGGTCTTCGAATCTTGCAATTTTGCCATCAAGTGGGTCATCCCTTGGTGGAAAATAGAAAAGATGGTTGGTGTCAACAAGCAACCATTCTGTCGTCTTCCAAGCTTGTCCCGTATGACCTTTTATTATCCCTGCAGGGTAAAAAGACAATACGGCCTAGTTCAGACTATTCCTTCCGGAGATCTTCGTCGTCCCTACGAGTTCCCTGTCTCCTAGGAAGTAGACAAGTTTGATGCTTATTGGAGCGCTAGACCTTTATGGGAGGTGATTACCCAAAAGGTTCCTCCTTCCTTGCCCAATGATGTGAAAAAATGGCTTCTAAAGAAGCCCACGAAGGACATGAAGAAAAATCAGAGTAAAACTGATGTGAAGAGTCGTCTAGGTGACAAAGTGGTTCCTGTTAAGGAACGCTTAGGTGAAAGAATTGAGTTCAAAATGCCTATAATGCCTAGGAAGAAGAGTACTGCAAAAGATAAGGGAAAAGGGAAAGCTGACACCACAGAAAAGAAAGCTTGGGTAGAAAAGAAGCATGGAGTCCTAGCTAAGGGGGAAACTATTTACTCCAAGATTGAATATAGGTTCTCTAAAGGATGCCTACTAGCTAAGGTTATGGATGAGGAGGAAGAAGCAGACAAAAATTGGAAAAGGGCTAAGAAAGAGAAAGAAGATTAAGAGCATTGCTTAATTTCCAATTATTAGACTTAGTTTATTATTTTATTTTTTTTATTTAAACTTAATTTATTTAAGTTTTATTTAAATTCCATCAATAATGTATTTTATTTTATTAATGAAATTCCAGCTTTTTTAATTAAATTATTTACTTTAAATTTATTTTATTAAAGCAATGAAAACCGCAAAATTAATTTTCCAGAAATTTTTTCGAATACGGAAGTCAAAAATTTTCCGAAAAACACCGAAATATTCCCAGAATTTTAACTATTAATTGGCGCCACCGATCTGCGTCTGGCGCTGGTTGCGGCAGTCTGGCGTCAGGCGACGGACATCGTCGTCTGGCGCTTATGGTCATCGGCTGGTGCCGGAATTTTTTCTGTGACGCCGATGTTCCGTCTATCTTCTGTCGAATTTTTAATTAATTCTAGGATGCGAGATTTTTAAAAAAATAAAGTGGCCGCACCTGTAAAGGGTTGCCTACGTATCCTTTCTTAAGGAATCAGGCCAAACGTAGCTCTCTTGAGTATCCTACTCAAGTAATTATGGGTAGTATTTTTTAAGTTGGTCAAGATTTGTCATGTTCGAGAACTCATTGCCCTCCATATCAGTTAATTTTGCTGCACCTCCTGACATGATTGTTTTGACAATGTAGAGTCCAGATCAATTAGGTCTAAATTTTCCCCTTGGATCTAAAACATTTTTCCTTAATGCTTTTAACACCAAGTCTCCTAATTTAACGTTTCTTGTCTTGACCTTCTTATTGAAATGCCTAGCCATACGAGTTTGGTAACACTGAGTATGATGTAGAGCTTCTAGTCGTTTTTCATCGAGTAGAATTAACTCTTCATATCTTGCTCTAGTCCATTCAAATTCATCGAGTTTGCTCTCTAACGCAATGCGTAGAGATGGAATTTCTAGTTCGACAGGTTGTACGGCATCCATTCCATAAACCAAGGAAAATGGCGTATTCCCTGTTGATGTGCGAATTGACGTGCAATAACCCCACAATGCGAAGTGAAGTTTGTCAGGCCAATCTTTATGATTTTCCGTCATTTTCTTGATGATAGTCTTTAAATTTTTATTAGCTGCCTCGACTGCTCCATTTGCTTGAGGTCTATAAGGGGAAGAATGATGATGTTGAATGCCATATTTTTGTAGAAATTTTTCACATTCGGTTTGAAAGTAAGTTCCATTGTCACTTATCATTTCATGGGGGACTCCGTATCGACAAATAATATTTCTCTCGATAAAGAGTGCTACATTTTTTGCAGTGAGTTTAGCATATGATTGCGCTTCGACCACTTGTGAAGTAATCAATTGCCACTAGGATATATTCGTGGCCTCCTGTTCCTGGGGGAGTGATTTTGCCGATGATGTCAATTCCCCATGTAGAGAATGGCTATGACGACGTGTAGGTGTAGATAGCACTGTCAAAACGGTTTGACAGTTTGGGTTTGGTTCGGTTTGAAATCGGTTCGGTATTAAATCAGGTCGGTTTGAAATCGGTTTAAATGTATTGCGGGTTGGTTTCAGTTTGGTTTAATTAGTTATCGGTTCGATTCGGTTTCGGTTTATTCTTGAGCGGTTTTAATTCGGTTCGGGTTGTAAACGGTTCGAAAATTAAACGGTTCGGTACAACTGGGTTGCGGTTTGTTAACGGGTTCGCCTTTTATACGATTTAACGTTATTCAGATCAGTTCCATTTCACGTTTACTAAATTATGGTTCAGAACGGTTTTTATTTCAAAAAGTCGGTTTTTAACCGGATCGTTTGGATTCGGGCAGTCAAACAATTTTGGTTTGAAATTTCACAATACTTGCTAACTAACCTTTTGCTAGTTAACAAGTTTTATATCAAGGCGAGACTTCATCACTTCATATTTAGGCATTAGGCATTATATTATATACAAATTCTCATCGATTTTAAAAATACATATCATGTTATTTTCAAGTTTAGTCATACTGATGTTACTAGTTTATTACCAAGTAACGTAGATTATAAAAGTTTAGTGTATTAATGAATTATTATTGTTTTACTATCACATTAAGCTGCTTCTTATTCAATCATCTAATTGATGTGTAATAATCATGATTTGATGAGTTATTGTGAGATCGAAATTACAGTTTCATTTATAGACAGTTCGGTTTATAAACGGTTCAGTGCAAACGGGTTGTAGTTTGTTAACGGTTTGGTGTAACCGGTTTTTACCTCGGTTCAAACAGTTTCGGGTTGAAAATGGTTTTGGGTTAGATACAGTTCGGTTCTTTTTCAGTTCGGTTTGATTTCAGTTCGCTTTAAAAGTTGTTCGGTTTGTTAACGGGTTCGGTTCTTATACGGTTTGACTTTATTCGGATGGGTTTGGTTTCGGTTTTACTTAAATACGATTCGGGTCGGTTTTCGGTTTTACAAAATCGGTTTTTAATCGGTTCGGTTCTCATTTGGGTCGGTTGGTTTCGGGCAGTTAAACGGTTTCGGTTTGAAATTTGACAGCACTAGGTGTAGATCAAGGATAAAGGAACATGTTGTAAATTGGCATAGATTTGGCACTTAGGGCATCTTTTTACGTATTGATGACAATCCCTATTCATTGTAGTCCAATAATATCCTTCTCGCATTATCTTTTGGACTACCATTTTGCCATTTATATGAGTGCCACAAATTCCTTCGTGGACTATCCTCATTGCTCTTTGAGCATCATTTTTTCCTACACATAAGAGAGCTCGACCCTTAGGTACCCTTTTATGTAGCTCGTTGTCTATGAGTACATATTAGGAAGCCAAGAGTCTTAAAGCTCGTCTTGCTCTTTTGTCAGCATGGGGAGGGTATTCTCCTTTGGTGACATAATTGAGTATATCTGTGTACCACGGTTCTTCTTCTTCTTTTTCT